TAATCTTAGTTCTCGAATTGTTAATTTTCCGCAGTGGAAAAAACGTAATATCGAGTGCTTTCGGGTTATTGTAGCGTTATGAAGGAACGGTACATGAGCAGTTTTCTCTATAGCCAAATTAAAATTAAACGAAGACAGAATAACTTCGCTGTTCTATTGCAAACCAAATAATCAAAAACTAATTTTATTTTGCGCGAACGATACCTGTCCCGAGCATTGCATAAATTCTTATCGCCAATTAATTAATAATTAGCAACCGAACGCACCTTGACAGCAGAAGGGCGGAAGCAGTTTTCAATTCGATAATGAAATCTTTTCGAATCTGAGCGAGATTTAAAGCAGATCAACCTACATTCTTACTTCATATACAGAAATCCAGAACAAGGTTAGTAGAAAATTATATTCGATTACTGTATTGTTTCTTCATTCGCCGTGAATTATCTTTTTCAATTTACTGTTAAATTTTCACAACAATTTGGAAACCTTTGAAAATACATTTGGTGATACCATAATAAAACGAGATGACTTTGTTAATTAATTAAAAGCTCTCGCTTGCTATTCTGTGCCCACCGAATACGCAAGCAATGTAAAGCTTGAATTACATTCAAACTCTGTCGCTCATGTTCGCATTATTATGTTACTATTGTATTACAATCGCCAATTTTTTCACTTACATGCGCCAATGATACGATGATGTAATTAATTCCTCGTCCAAAGCTCCTGCCAATGGGCTGCAAATGTATTACAACCATTCCGATTATGATCTGGTTGTAATATCCACAAAGGCCGCTTTTAAATTACAAACGTTTCGTCGTGCGTGTAAGTGAAATTTGTACGGAAGCGATAGCAATAAAACCGAAGCGTAGCTAAGACAAACTTATACAAATACTGTTAACATGTACACGTTCCATGTTAAGTTAAGGACCAAGAAAGCCGTGGATATCTCTAATCTACATTTATGTCAGAACAATCCGACTTGATATTACAATAATTAGAAATTTTCCGTCTTTACGATCCACTGAACATTATCAGTTTCTCGAATCTGCACTAAAACAGCTATAACTTAAAGCTTAACTGCGTTTAACTGATGGAATCATTTCAGCAGAAGGCGAAGGATGTAGGGTGTCTCTAAAGCTCGGGCGGGCTTTTGAGGTGACATTTTCGGAGTGAAGGTTCTTCTTTGGCAGACAAAGGACTTATTAATCGTGATAAGAGTCATTTGCAATTCGCCTTTTTCTATCCCAATTTCAGGAGAGCTTTGTTTCTGTGTAAAGATTTTGTAACGGTTTGTAATTATAATGTTCGCTTGGCGTATAATACGAAAACGCTTAATAATTTGTAAGGTTGAAGGCTATGGGATACTTATAAAACACCCAAGGTTAAAGGTACACTCATTTCCGTTTAGGTGAGTACTTTTGTGCAATTGCATCATTCTAAGAGCACGACGACGTGTGGAAAGAACTAGGAGAACCTAATTAAAGAAAACGGCGTTGGTGTACGGAAGGTATGTAGGTAGTAGGCATGAGTATGCCCGAGAAGTAAGTGACAATTAAATAAGTTGGCAACATTTCAATTTCCCTTGTTTTATATTATAGTTTATACCGCACCGGTTCGAGCACAAATAGGAATTATACAGTATAACGCAGCATTGTCTATTACACAAAAGCTTCGAACATAATTTTCTACAGAAAGGGGTTCGTTGTTCCTTTGTATTTGTTATATTAAAACGTTTATCTTTTTTTGATCACCCGCCTGTAGTGAACGTAATCTTGCAACTGAAGGTATTTTATATATAATACCGCATTATCTAAATTCAAAGTACCTTGATAATATCTCTACGATTAAAACCATATTTGGCCACTAAATTTAAATACTAACAACCAAACGGTTGCTAAATGTAACAATTTTTTACGTGGTTTATACAGTAGAAACAGGAACATATGACAAAAGAATTTCTTGATCTAGACATTGTTTATTGTCAAGTTGGATGATACTTCATTTAGGAAATTACTACATTGTAATAAGTATAACCCAACCCATATACCACATCACAGATTTCATTTCCTATATTAAGTTAAATACGTAGAGCTCTTATAACTTAAACGGAATATTTCTCCATTATGCTTCTGGATCCCGTTTTTATTGACATTTTTGCGTGTGAAAGTTTTCGGTTATTCCTATTGTGGTTGTTATTATTATTCATCTCCGCTCTTAGTCTAAAAATCTATGTAAATAAGAATAATTTCAATTACTTCCAACTACTTTTACTAATTGTAACATTAAATTGAAACATTTAAACGGTTTAGAAAGTTACAGACACACATTCATTGAGTATTAAATCTATCCGTGGTGTAATATGTGACATGTATGTATGCAAATACATAGTAAGATTGAAAAAACACCCAATTAACTTAACTAATTTCACTGCGAGAATCTCTTTTTATAGGGACCAATTTCCTCGCGAATTTATTTATTGTTTCGGGTCCGAACTGCCTTTTTTTACACCCAGTTCAAGAATCCCCTTAGAATCTCTCCGAAGAATACTTCTCACTTAATCATTAGATATAATTAGCTCGCCCAAAAATGTTAACCATTAATTAATTTCCATTGGTTAAGGATCTTTTTTCAACCAATCTCGTTAAGAGTTTCCACGGTGATTTTAATATTATGATGACATAAGGACTGTGGTTTTATATAGCTATTAAAAAAGACTGAATCTGTGATCAAAAGATCTATTGAAACTTGAATAATGCAGTAAAGATAGACTTCAGACTTCAAATTTGCCGATTTGGTTTTTATTTCGTGCCGTATATCGTTCATAAAGTTGATGATGATTTCTCAGAAACGAAACGTTCAAACGCTCTGTGAGTCTAACCGTACGAATTAAAAAATTTGTAATCGTGCGTTATTAATTAAATAAGACTACGTTCCAAATTATGAAGAAAAGTGTTGACAGGCGCATACGTTAAAAACATAATCATCCATACAAGACTTTCTGTCGTATTTGCGCAGCTTAATAAAGTTGTGGAGGAAGTGCAATTAACCAATTATTCCGTAAGGCGTTATAACAACAAAAAAACTGCAATGAAACCGCAGTAAAATATCAAGTAAATAAAATGAGATTCAAAAAAATTAAGGTATCTAGAGGTAAAAAATGAGAAGGCCCTTCAATAGTTATTTTTTTTATTATTTTCCTTCAATATGAGTTCCTTTATATAGCTATTTAGTGTTATTGTTCTTTTGCTTTTGCTTTTTGCAAAAAAAAAAATACAAAAGAGGTAAAGATTTGGAGAGAAAGAATAAAGCTAGCCGTCGGCTTTTGATTATCTTTTTTGTAATACAGTTTTTTTTGTTCAAATTTGAATTTTTATTAAAAACAAAGGAAATTCTCAACCCTATTTGCAACAAAGCCTGCTGCAATATATAAAACGCGACCTTTGAATGAAATTCATAACTTATGAACTTCGGCTTCAGTTTTCAAAAGAGATGCTGGAAGTTGCCGATATCTCGTATCGATTTAGAAGAGCATCCCTTTGAACGAAATTCATAAATTGTCGAATTCAGGTTTGAGAATCAAAAATGCGCTAAAAAGTTATTCTTCATAAAAAGTTCTGTATGATCTGAAAGCTAAAATGCAACCGTCGGATAACAAATTTTTTCCGTCTAATAGCTGTGTCAAATAATATGAATTTTGATCAGGAGTAAAATAGCGGGCGATTGATGTCCAGTCGCCTTTCGAAGTTCAAGTTAAGATTTCCCATGTAATTCCAAAGATGGCTCGACAGCAACTCCTTTTTGATCGCAGAGTACCTTTGTTTGTTAAATCGAAATTTGTTATCAAGAAAAAAATCAAGCTTAGTATGCAATTATTATTCAGCACGATATTCAAGATGATTGTAAAATAAATTATTTTTTCTTCAATCGTGAAAGTATTAGGTCATTGTTCGACTGAGTAGTAGGCACCAAAGTTTGACATTATCTCTAGAGCAGATTTTACTTTTCCTGTCTCCGGAGGGAAAAGTGTTGTTATGGAAATACAACAATTTAAATTTTTAACTGAATGATAACGTATTTTTTTCGTAAAATTAATAATAAAAAAGTTCCTCGTGTTGCCAACTTCAGTAGACACACTGTATATGTTTAGGGATTTTTATAATACACATTTTTACCTAGTGATCATGGTTTCCAGGAGGGTCAACTTGTCGTCTAATGGATTGGGTAGCGTTGCCAAAATTTAGAGACTTTAAATAAGTGTGGTATTGTGTATTACGGTTACTACGTCGTAGGGGTTGAAAAAGGGAGCAACAGAAATATGGCCCTCTGAAAATTCAAATAGACCTATTTTTTTGAGTGTATTTTGATTTGTGTACTTGTAAGAAAATAAAATTTCCCATCGAACGTCTAGACTCGACATTTACGATGCTCTCCATTGCAGGGGATATAGTCACATGTACCTATGAAATCAAAAAACAGTGAAGCGGCAAAGATAAATCAAACGCGATTGAAGTACTGAATAGTGATTCATCATCGAACAAGGTCAACACTTTGCAATGATGTGTCATAAAAATTACATTAATTAAAAGAAGTTGTTATATGCACATTTCAAAATTATAGTCTCCAATCCGAGGAAAGAATACTAACAAAATTAACCCAACGAATGCAGTTGTAGTTCTTTGATGAAAAAATAAACAGGGGTTCAAAAATTCAACAATCCAATATCCTCCCTTTTTCCACAGTTAACTACAATTAATCTGTGCCGTTTCCAATAATATCGACAACGTGAATTACAGGACCTTAATCTATTTTCTAACGACAAAAAGCACATTTAATTTTGATTGCAACAGCAACAGATGTATATACCTACGTACGAAAGTTCTAAAATAGGTAATCGTAAATTAAAATATCGTACAATAAACAAAAAAAGATTTGCAAATTCAAAATTAGCGCGATTTCAAAACGAATGAGAACTTATTCATTGAAAACAATATGATTAACTCTACCTTTCTTTGCACGACAGCATCCTCTATTCACCACCATACTTCACCCTTACTAAATATTAAGTTCAAAGAACAAACGTTACGCTATAACACACATAAACCCGACCGCGGAATAACTGCCATTATAACAAACGAGTCCAATTCAAGATTATTTGGCGTTATCAGTTACCTACAATAAATTACAATCGGGTTTTTCCATTTACAGGTGCGCGATTTAATAACTCTACCTCACGTTAATTTTCCTTAGTGTTGTTTCAATTGTCTTCTGGGCGTAAGGAATAAATCATTTTATCCTTTGCAGCAAGCTAGAAATTACAGGGAAGTTCTGCTGGACATTTGATATAAAGTTATGAAGTGATTGGGGGGTGGTAGACATGGAAATAATAAAATGATTGTACACTTCTTTCCTTCGCTCCACTACCGCGATAGGCTCATGCAAGGGCGAGAAACACCCTAAGAATTCTGGAATAGAAAAGAACCATTTGGAAGGAAACAATACGCCTGTTTCATACGTCTCCGGGTCCAGTGGGTTTGATTTTCGTATAAATTTTACGCACGAACTCTCGTACAAAGGGAATTGGTCTGGTGTAATTTTACATCTCGATTTTAGTTAAAACAATATCTGAGATTTACACAGCTTCCATTATTTAAGAAAGGCGATCTGAGCGACAGGTACCTTTGCACTCTTCGCGCAAGGTTTCAGTAATAGTACGGAAGAACCTTCGAGAAAGAAATCATAGTCATAATAGTGTCGTAATGTTGAGCTCTAAAGTAGGTACAGAGAGAAAAAAGGGACAAATTAAGGTCCACTTAATATAAACGTCAGAAAATAAGCATAAAATAAAAGCCCAGACCAGAGAAAATCAGTTTTGTTCAGATAACTTCTACTGACGGAGCTAGAGCTACTGTCAATTGACTGTGTGTATGAATTATAAACCATTTTAGTTAAAAATCAGTACAAGATCCCCATTTATTATTAGTATTTTTAGGGCGCAAACAACAACAATAATTTAGCAGTGGTCACCTTTGCTTGGGGCAGTCAAGGAAATAAAAAATAATAGAACATAGAGCCGAAAAATAAACTAGTTCCTTTACTTTCTTAAAGGTATTTCGTCTTTGGACGTAACAATATCCTTTTCCTAAAAATAATCGTAGAGATGATCCTAGAATGCTTATTTAGCTCTCAGTTTAGCCTTTTTAGAAACCTCCTTAAAGTAAATTGTCCCCAGTTATTTTGGACCACTCGGTATTGTTGTTTTAAAGTAGGTCTTCTTAAGGGAGATTTACACGGTTCCATCAGTAGCTGGAATAGGTAAGCCAAAGGGTTTCACATCGCTGTCTCTTTTCATTCTCGAGTTAGACGAAGAACAGCCGACGGGCGGACCATCGCATAAGGGGAATTTCTTGCAAAACATTCCCCAAAAACAAAATAAAAGCATTGAGATTCACTTATCCCAGAAAAATAAGAAAATTAAAAACATGCTGCTATTTTAAGTGTTCAACTTATCTGAACTATTCTAAAACACTCATGTTCCGACTATGAAAACCGTGTAAATCCCCCTATAGACTAAGGCGAAATAAAGCAAATGAAGGCGATAAGCGATGCGACGACAAAGGTTGACTGGCTCCTGCTTAGCGATAACCTAGATTGTTGGTCGATTAAACAGCGAACTAATTCGGATTTGTCGAATGGGACAAAAACAACGAAATTTTGTGTTACAGATAACGACGAAAGCTTTCACGGCGATGTACAAATTAAATTCGGCGAAATGACATTCTGCTTTTTAACAATCACGTTCATTGTTGACGTTTGTACGAAGACATCTTGTATTCGAATCGAACGTTGTTCGACGAGTGCGCATATACAGTACAATATACAAGGCGAGCTAAGAATAATTTCCTTGAAAGAATTTCAAAGGAATAAGTAAATGTAAAACTTATTATTTTGGGGACGCAACAGCCCTACCATTGGCACGTCTTGTTAATCATGGAATATTTCTTTTTTTTGCCTTTATTTTTGAGACCCAACTCACTATACATTTCGTGACGCACCGGACGACTCTTGGCAATAAGCGTTATATGGTAATAATAATAATAGATGGAAATGATTTGTGGTGAGTAAAGAATTTTTGTAATGCAGGGTAGCACACCGCAAACCCAACAGAACATGTAAAATACTATTGAAAAGGTTTTGATTTCCTGGATTTAGGGCTGAAATTTTATTGAATTTGATCGATTAGTTTCCGTATTTTTCAGATTTGCTTTTTCAAAAAAATAGTTATTTACATAAAAGTCAGGAAAATGACACATTACTGGCGAGGACATATTGAAGTGCGAGGCCCCTTTGAGGCCGAGTCAGGTAATGTCATTTTACTGACGTGTTTTGTATTAAATTTTACCCGAAATCGTATTTTTTTTTCAAATTCATTCATTAGCACCATCGCCTCTATGCTTATTACCCAAACTTATACTTTTTAGTGCTAGGGCAAAAATGCGCTCTAGTACAGGAAGGAGTTCCAAAACGTGAGTGTTTTTTTATTACTTCCCTAGATTCCACTTCCAATCATGGCCTACGTGAATAAAGAATTTTCGCAAATAGATTTCCTTTTTTCGTAAAATTTCAAAAAAAAATTGCACTGCACAAGTAGAAAGTTTATCGAATATTCCGATCTAATTTTCGCTGTGTAGCGTATCTATAGATACATATCGTCTTTGTGGAAATTAGCGCAAAGAAAATTAGTAACGTCTAACTTTCAACCGATTCTCAAAGGGTTTTATGAAAAATTAAGCATGTACAAGAAGCGCAATTAAAACAAGAACAACATTAAGCGGCGTTAATGAAAGGGCTACTTCAAAGAAAATTCTTCGCGAATCGAGAAAAGTTTCGTACTTTTTACCGAACTTTTGCAGCTTTTAATGTAGACGAAAAAAATTCATCTTTGATGTATTCGTGATCGTAAAAGTATTACGTACGCCCTAAATGCTGCAAGTTATAATTATAAGCAAAGGCGTAGCTAAAGTGAAAGTTTAAAGCCGCCATCGTATTTATTCAAAACATCCGCCCTTTTGTTTTCTTATCACGTTTGTCCCTTACAGACCCTCATCAATAGATGTTCTTTTTGGATTTCAAACTGCTGCCATTTCATTCACCCTTTAGTAATTTAATAAGAATATTACTGAAGTGGATGATTCGTTTGTCTTCTCGATGGGTTTATTAAATTTGATTACTGGCAAATTTTATTTCTTTTTCGGAGTTTTTCGAACACTCAAAACAATAACGATGATATACACTGAAATTAGGCTTTCCATTTCATATGATAACGTCATAGTCGTTCAATATGCTAACGCCACTTGACAGTCATACCTATTTAAGCAAATGAAATTGTTATACCTATATACAGGGTTGGTTTACGCACCATAGGGATTTCAATGCTGTATATCGCAATATTTCCTTCCCTAATTATTTTACGGCAAAGTTGTAAATATATTTTTTGTAGATTGCAAAATTCTGCATCTATTCATGTATCCGGTTTTCTTCTGTTCCTTTTCGTGCAGTATTTCCCTCCTGCTTTTTCTCCTCGGTTCCGTATCTGAACCTCGCTATTAGTTTAATGTTTTTCCTTTCCCCTCTTGAATATTTCGGAACCCCTCGGATATGCGCTCCTTGCACCTTCTGTTTCCTCGTGATTTCTCGATTTTCTCTCTATGTTGCTGTAGTTGCATAACTTTGTCCCTTTTTGTAAGCTCTTCTTCCGTTCTGTTTCACTCCACCTCCACCTCACTGCCGATACATATCCGTTTGTTTCACAATATTTTTTTCTTTGGTCCCACCAAATCGCTTTAGTCTTTGTCGATAATCATTCTTTTACCAATTCACTTTCTCTTTTCCCTCCTTTCCTCGTACTTTCCCGCCTCGCGTCCGGACTTTATCTTCTCCATTTTTATTTCTCCTCTACTACGTAATTTGGTCTATTTCTAATACTTTCTTTGTATTCCTTCTAGTTCATCCCATTCCTTCCATCCCCACATCGCCGTTCCATACATCAACATCCCTCCCATAATTGTATCAAAAAGGTATTTTCTTATTCTAAATTCGTTTTTGAAATTGCTCTCTCCTATTCCTCACACTTGTCTCCGAAAAGCCATCCAACAAACCAATTGTTTTTTGTCATAATAAAAAAAGAGGTGAAGTTCCTGAAGCTGCCACCGTGTGCTTGTGTCAGTGCTAGTGCGCCTAAATGTCACAAACTTTTACAACCAGATTTATTTAATTATTGAAAAACTGGAAGTAATTAAGATGTCTTTATTTAATTGTCTATCGGCCCCAAATGCTTTTGTCTTTCTTCCAGCTTTGTTGTTTTAACTTCTTTTATGTTTTTCGGAATTCATTTTTGTCTTTCGTGTGCTTCCAGTTTTCAGGCAGTCCTTTTTGCATATCTTGTGTATTAAGTTTCCTCAGTTTCTCCTTGATACCATCTGGGGCGATCCATGACTCATTTCATCACTTCCTGCTGCTTTACATTTCTTCAGTCTCTTTAATTGCTTCTCAATCTTTTCTTTTGATATCTCTTCCTCTCTTCCCTCTTCTTCTGTCCCAACCTCTTTCTTCTGTTTGCCTTGTAGTACCTTCATGAAGTACCACCTCCAGTCCTCTATTTGTATTTCTAGCCCATTTATTAAGTTTTTATTTTTCCTCTATTTATCATCTTTCGATGGTCCTTCTCTATTCTTATTTCCCAAATTTATTTTTCATATCCTTTGGCTTCTGTATCTTCTTTTCCTTACATTTTCTTTTATGCTCGTACTTTTCTCTGCTCTCTGAACTTCTCTTCTAGCTCTCTATTTCTTTCTCTCGCCATCATTGTTCCGAATCTCTTCTGTACCTATTCTCTCTGTCCCACAACTCCTTCTTTAACCTGTTTCCACGTTACTGTCGTAGTTCATAATTTGTTACCCCTTTTCTGTACTTTCTCTTATTTCTTCCTACCGTTCCTTTAGTCTCCTTCTATAATTCTCCAGTGTCTTTTGTCCATAACTGTATCTCCCTTCGTCTTTGGAAATTTCCGTATTTCTTTATCTCTTTATCTTCCCTTCTAGACTAATTTC